ATCGGGGGCTGCTGAAGGCGCCCCTGGCCCAAGGTGCCCCCGGCTCCTTTTCCTCCTCCTCCTCCTCCTCCTCGTCCTTCTTGAGAACGGGGGGTTGTGGAGTCGCACGCCTTTCGGAAGGTGTTTTCGTATAGTTGTTCGTGAAGTTGTCGAACATGTTTCCTCATCTTCCTTCTCCTCCTTCTCCTTCTCCTGTTAATCTTTCCTCCCCTTGTCCTACTCCTCCTCTTCCTCCTTCTCTCTTCTCTCCCTCCTCCTCCTCCTCTTCCTCCTCCTCCTCGTCCTCGTCCTCCTCCTCCTCCTCCAGAATATAGCTTTTTGCTTCTCTTGCCCCCCCCCAAAAAAAAAAACGCGGCACGGCCTCCCGTTGTTTGTCTTTTCTTGGGGGGGGCTTCTCCTCCTCCTCCTCCGCGCTGCTCCGCTCCCTCCTCCTCCTTCTCCTCCTCCTCCCTCCCCCAGAATGTAGTTGTTTGCTTCTCTTGCCCCCACACACACAACGCAGCGCGGCCTCCCGTTGTGTGTTGTTATTACTCTTTTTGAAGGGGGGGGCTCCTCCTCCCCCTCCGCGCTGCTCCGCTCCTTCCCTTCCTCTCTCCCCCGCCCTCCTCCTCCTCCTCCTCCTCCTCCTCCTCCTCCTCCTCCTCCTCCTCCTCCTCCTCCTCCTCCTCATTCCTCCAGAATCAAGCTTGTTGCTATTGAGATGCTTCGAAAGAAAGAAATAGCCCAGTTGGCATTGCAGTGGCATTGGTTTGGCCATGGTTTGGCATCGCATTGGCACTGCGTTGGCATAGCGCTTGGCAGTGCTTTGGCATTGCGCTTGCATGTCGCAAGCATTGCGCTGGCGGGTCCTAATGGAACCCTTCATTAAAGGATTCAGATTGAAACCCTCTACCAGAAGGACTTCTCTTGAAACCCTCCACAACAAGGGTTCATATTGAAACCCTACACAAAAGGATTACATGCGATGCCCTCCACAGAAGGATTCCTACTGACATCTATCACATATGATTTTCCCATTGGCATTGCATTGACATTTGGTTGGGATCGCCTTGGCATCAGTTTGGCATTGCGTTGGCACTGATGTGGCATTGTGCGGGCGAGTTCCAATGCCTCCCTTCGCAGGATGATTCCTATTGAGCCCCACACAAGAAGGATTCCGATTGAAACATTCCACACAGAGGGTTCATATTGAACCCCTTCAAAGCAGGATTCCATCCAAAACCGTCCATCTAAGGAATCCTACTGAAACCGACCACAAGCGAATGCCCCCAGGCATTGCCTTGCATTGGATTGGGATTGCCATGGCATTGGTTTGGCATTGCGGCGCCGCTACTTTGGCATTGCGCTGGCGACTTCGAATGCCTCCCACCACAGAAGGATTCCAATTGAAACCTTCCACACGAAGGGTCCCCCACATGAAGAGTTCATGGCGAAACCCTCCACAGAAGGATTCCTGTCGAAACCCTCCACAAGAAGATGCCGATCGATTTCCTCCTAAGAAGGATCCGGAACCAAACCATCCACATAAGGATTTCTGTTGGAATATGTTGAACGACTGGAACCATGCCATCGGCATTGCATTGGCATTGGTTGGTTTGTTAACGGTCTGGCATCGCATTGGCTTGCGTTGGCATTGCGGTGGCAGTGCGTTAGCAATGCATGTGCATTGCGATAGCAGTGCGCTGGCAAGTCCCAACCAAACGCTCCACATAAGGATTCCGATTCAATACGTCCACAAGAATGCTACATACGGACCCCACAACGAGGATTCACATTGCAATCCTCCACAGGAGGGGGTCCATGCGAATCCCTGCAAAGAAGGATTTAGTGAAATCCTCCGAAGAAGGGTCCTTAGAAGGATTCCTTTGTGGATGGCATCAGCCACCGAATGGTTCTTAAAAGAATTGCTCGTGAACGCTACCACAATCCACCCAATTGTCGCTGCATCGGCATTAAGTTTGGATCGTCTTGGCGTTGGTTTGGCACGGATTTGGCACTGCTTTGGCATCGCGCTGGCGAGTCCGAGTGCCTCCCTTCGCAGAACGATTCCTATTGAAACCCTCCACAAGAAAGAATCCTGTTTGCAATGTATAACAAAGGATCCCCCATTGGCATTACATTGGCACTGGATTGGGATCGCCTTGGCATTGGCTTGGCAATGCAATGGCACTGCTTCGGCATTGCGTTAGAATTGCGCTGGCGAGTCCTACGGCTTCCTCCGCAGAAGGACGCCTACTGAACGCCCCACAAGAAGGATTCCTAGTGAAACCCTCCACAGGAGGATCCCTATCAAAACCCTCCACAAAGGCATTCCGATCGAAACCCTCCGAAGAAGAATTCGCAATGACACCGTCCACAAAGGATTCTGATTGAATCCACCGAGCGAAAGGATTCCCCCATTGACATTGGATTGGGCACTGCTTTGGCAGTGCGCCGACATTGCGCTAGCGAGTCCTTGCGCCTCCCTTCACACAACGATTCTTATTGAAATCCTCCAGAGGATTCCTTTTTTAACATCGTACCACAAAGGCCCCTCCCCATTGGCATTGCATGTGCGTTGGATTGGGATCGCCTTGGCATTGGTTTGGCATTGCAATGGCACTGCTTCGGCATTGCGTTGGCGTTGCGCTGGCGAGTCCCATGGCTCCCTCCGCAAAAGGACTCCTACTGAACGCCCCACAAGAAAGATTCCTAGTGAAACCCTCCACAGGAGGATCCCTATTGAATCCTTCCATAAAGGCATTTCTATTGAAATTCTCGGAAGAAGGATTCGCAATGACACCGTCCACAAAGGATTCTTTTTGAAATCGACCGAGCGAGAGGACTCGCCTATTCACATTGCATTGGCATTGGCACTGGTTTGCAAAGGGATTGGTATCGCATCAACATGCATTGACATGGTGCAGGACATCGACAAAGAGAGACAGAGAGAGAGAGAGAACACGAGATAGCGATATAACGAGGGAAGCGTACTATGAAGGGAGCACAGACAGAAAAATGGCATTAAAAAACAGGTTTCCCCGGAGTTGGGTTTTCGCCTGCATTTGTTTCCAAAATGCTGCTCTCGCTGAGGCGCCGGCCTCATTTTCGGGCCCCGCTCGTTCCGAATCGTGCTCCCGCTGCAGCGTGGGTCTCATTTTCGGATCGGTGTTTTGCCTCCGTCGTTCAGGATGGCGTTCTCGCCCCAGCGCGGGCCTCTTTCTCGCGCGCCCATCCGCCCGCCACCACCGCACCGCGCCCCGCCCCGCCCACCGCCACTTCCACCCACCAACGCACGCACGCACGCACGCACGCGCACCGCCACCACCACCCCACTACCCCACCCACCACCACCACGCTACACCGCGTCACACCACATCACACGCGCGCGCACACAGACACACACGCACGCACGCACACACACACACACATACACACGCACACAAACAAGCACACACACCACCACCACCACCACCACCACCACCACCGCCGCCACCACCACCACCACCGCCATCACGCACGTACGCACCTGGCCCACCACCAAACCACTAAGACGCCACACCACGTCACACCACAGCACACGCGCACACACGCACACACACACACACACACACCAAAAAACACACACACACACACACCGACCACCACCACCACCACCACCACCTCCACCACCACCACAACAACCGCAACCATAACCATAACCACGCACACACGCACGCACGCACGCGCACCACCACCCACTACGCACGCGCGCGCGGAGCCACAGGTCCGCTACGACACGCGTCCGCGGATAGAGAAAATCAGCGCCATGGTAAGGGATGGGAGGGAGGGGTAGGACGTCAGATATGACGCGAGCGCACATAGCTTGTCCCCCTCCCCCTCCCCCTCCTCCTCCCCCTCCCATCCCCCTCCCCCTTCCCCTCCCCATCCCCCTCCCCCCTCCCTCCCCCTCCCCCTCCCCCTGCCCCTACTCTCCTCCCCCTCCCCATCCTTCTCCTCCTCCTCCTACTGCTCCGTAGCCATTTGGCTCAAGGCAATGAACCTTCCCGACGACCGCGAGTCTCTCGGGGCGACTTCTGAGCGCGAGGGAGGTTCCGCTTTGAGGCCACTCCCCAAGCTAGACTTTCCGAGCCTGGCAGGCATTGCGAGCCTCCACCGTGGGAGTTGGGCACCCACTCTCAGTTTTGTTCGAAGCCTGGGCGGTCGAGCTCCGCGCTGCCGTCCAGAGCTAGCTCCATGCCCAAGGCGCGGCCGTATACGGTGTGCGCGTCGTGCGGAGGCTGGGTCTATGATTGGAAGCTGCAGAGGTCGGGTGGCTGGTGCGACAAGTGTAACGATTTCATCGACCCCGTCCTGCAGCACACTAAGGACAAGGAGAAGCCGCCCTGGTGGAAGGATGGCAACCCTACCCTCACGCCCGAACAGGAGCTGGATGCGATCATCAAGAAGTTCGAGGCCCAGCAGGGTGGCTACAAGGTACAGGTGGACTTGCAGGCCCTCCGCGACTTCAAGGGCCAGGTTGTGGAGGCCATCCCGAAGAAGCCGAAGCGTGAGGTCCCACAGAGCCTGGCTCTCAAGCAGGCTGTCAACAAGAAGGAGCAGGCTCAGAAGGAGTTGGACACGGCGACGTCGGCGGTCTTACTGGCTCAGAAGCGCATGGAGGAGGCACTGCTGGCCCAGGATGAGGCGGCGGCTCGCATGGAGGAGGCAGAAAACGAGCACGCGAAGGTTTTGGACGAGTACCACACCAGGACGAAGCCGTCGCCCCTGGTGGTGCCGCCTGATCCCAATAAGGAGTGGAAGGCCCCTGAGGTCGACGAGGCGATCTTCGAGGACCTGGAGGAGTACCAGCCCGGGGAGCGCGACAAGCTGCTCAAGTTCAAGGCGGACATGCAGGCGCTTGCGGAGCTGGTCAACAACGCGTACGCGCAGTACAAGCAGTGCGACAACCTGGCGAAGCAGGCGAAGGAGGTGCGCAATGCGCACCTGGAGGCGAAGAGACGCAAAGTGGGTGAAGAAGG